CTGAGCTGGCTGTAAGTCCTGTTTTTGTGAGTCTGTTGTTTTTTTTTTTTTTTTGCTGCACTGTAAATATTTTCCACTCTGCACGGGTTTGGTGTGAAAATAAAGTCACCACAATTCATTTTTCCGACTGAGCCATCATTATTCCCATCATTTTTAAACGAACCTTCACAGAGACACATGAGACTAACGAGACACATGAGACTAACGAGACACATGAGACTAACGAGACACATGAGACTAACGAGACACATGAGACTAACGAGACACATGAGACTAACGAGACACATGAGACTAACGAGACACATGAGACTAACGAGACACATGAGACTAACGAGACACATGAGACTAACGAGACACATGAGACTAACGAGACACATGAGACTAACGAGACACATGAGACTAACGAGACACATGAGACTAACGAGACACATGAGACTAACGAGACACATGAGACTAACGAGACACATGAGACTAACGAGACACATGAGACTAACACACATGAGACTAACGAGACACATGAGACTAACGAGACACATGAGACTAACGAGACACATGAGACTAACGAGACACATGAGACTAACGAGACACATGAGACTAACGAGACACATGAGACTAACGAGACACATGAGACTAACGAGACACATGAGACTAACGAGACACATGAGACTAACGAGACACATGAGACTAAGACACATGAGACTAACGAGACACATGAGACTAACGAGACACATGAGACTAACGAGACACATGAGACTAACGAGACACATGAGACTAACGAGACACATGAGACTAACGAGACACATGAGACTAACGAGACACATGAGACTAACGAGACTAATGAGACACATGAGACTAACGAGACATATGAGACTAATGAGACTAATGAGACACATGACACTAACGAGACACATGAGACTAATGAGACACATGACACTAACGAGACACATGAGACTAACGAGACACATGAGACTAAGACACATGAGACACATGAGACTGACGAGACACATGAGACTAACGAGACACATGAGACTAATGAGACACATGAGACTAACAAGACACATGAGACTAACGAGACACATGAGACTAATGAGACACATGAGACTAACGAGACACATGAGACTAATGAGACACATGAGACTAATGAGACACATGAGACTAACAAGACACATGAGACTAACAAGACACATGAGACTAATGAGACACATGAGACTAACGAGACATATGAGACTAATGAGACACATGAGACTAACGAGACACATGAGACTAACGAGACACATGAGACTAATGAGACACATGAGACTAACAGACACATGAGACTAATGAGACACATGACACTAACGAGACATATGAGACTAATGAGACACATGAGACTAACGAGACACATGAGACTAACGAGACACATGAGACTAACGAGACACATGACACTAAGACACATGAGACTAATGAGACACATGAGACTAACGAGACACACGAGACTAAGACACATGAGACTAATGAGACACATGAGACTAACGAGACACATGAGACTAATGAGACACATGAGACTAATGAGACACATGAGACTAACGAGACACATGAGACTAACGAGACACATGACACTAAGACACATGAGACTAATGAGACACATGAGACTAACGAGACACATGAGACAAATGAGACACATGAGACTAGGACACATGAGACTAATGAGACACATGAGACTAAGACACATGAGACTAATGAGACACATGAGACTAACGAGACACATGAGACTAATGAGACACATGAGACTAACGAGACACATGAGACTAAGACACATGAGACTAACGAGACACATGAGACTAACGAGACACATGAGACTAACGAGACACATGAGACTAACGAGACACATGAGACTAATGAGACACATGAGACTAACAAGACAAATGAGACTAATGAGACACATGAGACTAACGAGACACATGAGACTAAGACACATGAGACTAACGAGACACATGAGACTAACGAGTAACATGAGACTAATGAGACACATGAGACTAACGATACACATGAGACTAATGAGACACATGAGACTAACGAGACACATGAGACTAACGAGACACATGAGACTAATGAGACACATGAGACTAAGACACATGAGACTAATGAGACACATGAGACTAAGACACATGAGACTAATGAGACACATGAGACTAACGAGACACATGAGACTAAGACACATGAGACTAATGAGACACATGAGACTAATGAGACACATGAGACTAACGAGACACATGAGACTAACGAGACACATGAGACTAACGAGACACATGAGACTAAGACACATGAGACTAATGAGACACATGAGACTAACGAGACACATGAGACTAATGAGACACATGAGACTAACGAGACATATGAGACTAACGAGACATATGAGACTAATGAGACACATGAGACTAACGAGACATATGAGACTAACGAGACATATGAGACTAATGAGACACATGAGACTAACGAGACACATGAGACTAACGAGACACACTAGACTAATGAGACACATGAGACTAATGAGACACATGAGACTAACAAGACACATGAGACTAACGAGACACATGAGACTAACGAGACACATGAGACTAACGAGACACATGAGACTAATGAGACACATGAGACTAACGAGACATATGAGACTAATGAGACACATGAGACTAATGAGACACATGAGACTAACGAGACACATGAGACTAACGAGACACATGAGACTAATGAGACACATGAGACTAACGAGACACATGAGACTAATGAGACACATGAGACTAACGAGACATATGAGACTAATGAGACACATGAGACTAACGAGACACATGAGACTAACGAGACACATGAGACTAATGAGACACATGAGACTAACGAGACATATGAGAC